AGAAGGGAGAGAGAGAGAGAGAGGTACGAAATCTCAGTGTAGGTCTCCATCCACACGTCTGCTGCAGGCAGCTTGCCTTTAGGAGCAATTGCCACACTGTGCCAGATTTCAGGATTGCACACACGTACCAGCAGTTCAGTATTTGCACAATTCCTAAGAGATGGCTTCCGCAGGAGGAACGTGGGAAGCCGTTTCTTCAGCAACACAGAATATTTACAGGTACTCCTCGACTTACGACCGGTTGCTTAGCAACGCTTTGAAATTACAACAACCCCCCAAAGGGCATTTAACGATCCGAATTCGAAGTTACAACCCCCTCCTCCCCCTGTGGGTCCCATGCTCACATGTTGGGCCCTTAGCAACCAGATTCCCCTTTTCCTGCTGTTTGCAGCATCCCAGGGTCCTTTGACCGAAATTCCCGACTGTTTTTGTGCTGATTTCTGACATTCACTTCTGCTTTCTGACAAAAACGCCCGTTGGGTAAAATGGATTCCCTTAATGACGGCATTCACTTTACGGCCACTTGGAAAACATGCTGTCAAGTCAAGTCCGGTCACATGGTACCTGTTTAACAACTGCAACTATTTATGTCCGTAATTCTGGGCTCAAGTACAGTCGTAAGTCGAGGACTACCCATCCAGAGGAACAAACAGCCTCATGGCTTCCTCAAGTTACTTATCCCAGCGTTGTTGTGACCCAGGCCCACGTAGTTAATATTAAATGCAAAACAGTTCCAAAAAACAAACAGATTTTATTAAAATAGCTGAGAATTAACTCATTCTCAGTTTATCCGAAGAGCTGTTGATGGTCTGTTTTAAGCCTTATGGGAGGGACCAATCATCTCTTGGCCCTACTCCTGAGTCATCCTCTTTGCTGTAGCTGCTCTTGCCTTCTGGCAGCTCTTCTCATACGTGCACTAGGAACAGGCTCCTCCTGTTCCTCTGCCTCTCTACTGTCAGCCTCTGGAGGCTCCGGAGTCGGCGCATCCCTCCCTGATGGCCCTGGCCCCATCTCTGCCTCCGACGCAGAGCCCTCATCCGGGCCTTCCACAGCCTCCAGGACTGGCCCATGTTCCTCCCCAGCCTCCTCACTGTCTGACTCCGCTGCCAGCTCTGCAGGCTGCTGGCGGACCACAACAAGCGTTAAGATCTGCATCTGTTCTCTTCTTCCAAGCTCTTAGTTAAAACATGGGGTGTGAGAAGAAGTGAGAAGAACCTTCTAATCATTTCTAAAGGACAAAGGCAAGCATAATTTGCCAGACTATTGGGACCTGTTTATGGTTTTTTAATCATCCTAAGGGACTTTCTGAGGTCCTGCTTCCAAATTCCTAAGACAGAAGGGCCTGTGATTTAAAAATTAACCTCTTCTTAAGATCCTCTTCGAAGAAAAAAAAAGGAGTCCCTGTGGATTTTATTCCGCTAGTTATTGCTGGCTCTAAAACGAGTGTCAAACTCAATTTCATTGACGGCCACATCAGGGTTGTGTTTGACTTTGGGGGGCCAGGGTGGACGTGGCCATCTCGACATCACTTGTGTTGTGGGGTGCCTGTGGTGGCCCAAGCACTCTGCCAGTGAAAACGGTGTTTTGAGCTCCATTTTTGGCTGCAATGGCTTCCGCAACCCTCTGCCGGCAAAAACGGAACTCGGGAAGGCCGCCCGCTGCCCTCCCGAGCTCCATTTTTGCTGGTAGAGACACTGTGGGCTGGTCCTTTGCTGTTTTGAGGGCGCCCCCGCAGGCCAGATCTAAGCACCCCGCAGACCGGATCTGGCCCCCATGCCTTGAGTTTGACACCCCTGCTCTAGAGGACACTACTCATCTCCATTTCAAGACCATTTGAGCTAGCGCTGTCCGAAGACATTTCTGCGGTCAAGTGGTCAGCCTGACATCACAGAGTGCTGTTATCTCCCCAGTGGTACCTGTTTATCTACTCGCCTTTGCATGCTTTCGAACTACTAGGTGGGCCCGAGCTGAGGCGAGGACGGGAGCTCACCCTGTCACGTGGTGCTCGGGTCTCGAACCTGGGCTGCTGGTTTTTCAGCCAACAAGCCCAGCGTCTTTAACCACTGAACCATGCTCCAGATTGCCAAGCTCTCTCGCTAGTAGCATCCTCCATCATCAAAAGAGGCATTTTGCAGTCTGCCTCCCCAAAGCATCCGTAGGTGATTTAACTAATGTTCAGTTCCTTAAGGTAGGATGCAGGCAAAGCAGTAACAGAGAGGGATCTTGGAGTCTTAGTGGACAACCAGTTAAATGTGAGTCAGCAGTGTGTGGCGGCAGCCAAAAAAGCCAATGCAATCCTAAATTACATTAACAGAGGGATACAATCAAGATCAAGTGAGGTACTCTAATAGCACCCTATAAAGCCTTAGTAAGACCACACCTAGAGTACTGCATCCAGTTTTGGTCACACCACTATTAAAAAAAAGATGTTGAGACTCTAGAAAGAGTGCAGAGAAGAGCAACCAGGATGATGAGGGGACTGGAGAGTAAAACATATGAAGAACGGTTGCAGGAACTGGGCCGGGCTAGTCTAGTGAAGAGAAGGACCAGGGGAGACAGATAGCAGTGTTCGAATATTTGAGGGGCTGTCATAGAGAGGAGGAAGGGGGTCAAGCTATTTTCCAAAGCACCCGAAGGCCAGACAAGGAATAATGGATGGAACCTGAACAAGGAGAGATTTAACCACACTATAAAAAAGATGTGGAGACTCTAGAAAGAGTGCGGAGAAGAGCAACCAAGATGTTTAGGGAACTGGAGGATAAAACATACGATGAACAGTTGCAGGAACTGGGCACGGCTAGTCTAGTGAAGAGAAGGACCAGGGGAGACAGGATAACAGTCTTCCAATATTTGAGGGGCTGCCATAGAGAGGAGGAAGGGGGTCAAGCTATTTTCCAAAGCATCCGAAGGCCAGACAAGGAACAATGGATGGAAACTGAACATGGAGAGATTCAACCTGGAAATAAGGAGGCATTTCCTGACAGTGAGAACAATCAACCCGTGGAACAGAAGTTGCCTTTGGAAGTTGTGGGAGCTCCATCCCTGGAGGCTTTCAAGAAGAGATTGGACTGCCACCTGTCAGAAATGGTATAGGGTCTCCTACTTGGGTGGGGGGTTGGACTAGATGACCTACAAGGTCCCTTCCAACTCCGTTAATCTGTATCAGTGTCAAGACCTGCTTCCACGAGACTGCTGGGACCAAGAGTGGGAACCAGGCTCACCACAACCGGCTTGTAATGAGTGACCTCGTGTTGTTAATGGAGACAGTGCAGTTCTCTGGAGCTCAGTCTGGAAACAGGATGCATCTGTGGCACTTGCAAAATAGAAGTGGTGAGTGTAAGCCTGAGAGCCTGACGACAGAGATTCAACTGTGGGCGTTTATTTAGCTCGAGAGGGCAGAGGGGTGTCTACCATTAACCCCCCACCTGCTTTGTGAGGTCGGTTGAGATGGATTAGATGGGAAACTCCCACCGACCTCTTCTCCCTTCTATTCACCTAGACACGTGATGCACCTCACTGTCTTTGTAGCTACCAAAAGGATCCATCCAGAGGTGGGATTCAGCCGGTTCGTACTGATTCGAGTGTGATAGGATATAATGCTGTTCTATTTAGCCACGTTTTTGAGCAAATCACATGCGCGGAAGCATGTGCATGGCGAACCGTTGGTAAGAATATTGGAAACCCACCGCTGGATCCATCTTCAGGAAGGTGACATTAGGATCGGCCCAAGACCTGAGCACCTGAGACATAACATGGAACGTGGAAGGGACCTCAGAGGTCTTCTAGTCCGATCCCCTACTCAAGCAGGAGATCTTGGTGGCGCAGTGGCTAGAGTGCAGTACTGCAGGCCACTTCTGCTGGCTGCCTGCAGTTCGACAGTTCGAATCTCACCAGGCTCAAGGTTGACTCAGCCTTCCATCCTTTTTGAGGTGGATAAAAGGAGGACCCAGATTGTTGGGGGACAATAGGCTGACTCTGTAAACTGCTTAGAGAGGGCTGTAAAGCATTATGAAGCGGTATATAAGTCTAAGTGCTATTGGTATCTTGGACCATCCCGGTCAAATGGTGGTTGGGAAACTGTTCCCTTTGATTAATTATTCTCACTGCATATGCAATTATATAAAAGTAAAAAGTTGAGGTTTGATATTAACATTTTATTCTTCTGTACCAAAGACAGTTGGAAGTCAACGCCTTTTTATTCGTTTTTCTCCTTGCTTTCCCCCCACTCGTCTCTTTCCCTTTTCCCTTCCCTAATTTCCCCACCAGTTCCTTTTGTCTTTTCTTTGTGCGCTATATTATAAACCAATAAAATTGTTTAAACCCGATTGATAGTTCTCACTGTCTTCTCGGTTGGATCTTCCTCTTTTGCTATTTGTATATTGATCTCTTCGTTTGTTGACATTTATTGGCTGTCCGTCTTACCTGGCTAGCAAAGAGGATGTTGGAATTCAAATTTTTTTATTATCGGTTCTGTGGGCATGGCTTGGTGGGCGTGGTGTGGCTTGGTGGGCATGGCTTGGTAGGCATGGCAGGGGAAGGATACTGCAAAATCCCCATTCCGTCCGCACTCCTGGGGAAGGATACTGCAAAATCCCCATTCCCACCCCACTCCTGGGGGAAGGATATTGCAAAATCCCCATTCCCACCCTACTCCTGGGGGAAGGATATTGCAAAATCCCCATTCCCACCTCACTCTTGGGGGAAGAATATTGCAAAATCTCCATTCCCATCCCACTCTTCGATCAGCCGGAGGTGGTATTTGCCAGTTCTCTGAACTGCTCAAACTTTCCGCTACCGATTCGCCAGAACCTGTCAGAATAGCTCCCCTGGATGATGGCCCCTTCCTCTTGCTAGCAAAACCAAAGGCATTGGGGCAGGTGAGGTAGGGAAACCATTGGAATTTGCCCTCTCCATGGTCAACTGAGCCCTGGGCAGTGAAAGGAGTACCAAGGCAAGTTAGAAGAGCGCTGATGAACGTTTCCCCTGTCCTTCCTCCCCAGACAACTGCGCAGAAACCTCAGCCTCTACTTCATTATGAAGCTGCTTGGAAAGATGAAGATGGCCCCAAACTTCTGGCAAGAAGAAATCCAGGTTAGTTTGGGAAACCAAGGGAAGAGAAGGAAAGGGTCAGGGGTGGGGTTTCACTGGCTCTCTTTATTTTATTAGTCATATTTCTATGCCGCCCACTCTCCGAGGACTCTGGGCAGCTTACACCAAAGACAGTATACTAAATAGCGTATTGCCCCCTAACAATCTGGGTCCTCATTTTACCCACCTCAGAAGGACGGAAGGCTGAGTCAACCTTGAGCCGGTGAGATTTGATCCGCTGATCTGCTGAACTAGCAGTCAGCTGAAGTAGCTGCAGTACTGCACCCTAACCACTGCGCCACCTCGGCTCTTTCCAACGGGAGCAGTGCTGGTATTCAGCTGATTCTATCCAGTTCAGGCAAACCGGTATCGGCCCCTGTGGGAGGCTCTGCCCACCCACCCAGACATAATCACGTCCCATTTATCCACATTTTTGATGCTCTGCACATGCGCGGAAGGCCCTGCGCATGCACGGAGGTGCGCGCTCACATTTGCAAACCAGTAGCGAAGGTAAGTGAATACCACCCCTGAACGGGAGGTATCTTGGAATCACTTTTTGGGGGGATCACTCCCAAGAGAAAAGTCAGAGGGTTGTTGAGTCCTTTTGATGGAGCTTTTCCTGTTAATTTGTGAAAAGCACTCGTTGTGAAAGAGGCATTTCCCTGGTAAGAGGGACAGCGTAGAACAGCGTCTGTCAATCTCAGCAGATTTCAGATCTGTGGACTTCAACTCCCAGAATTCAGCATGCATGGTTGGCTGGGGAATTCTGGGAGTTGAAGTCCACAGATCTTAAAGCGGCTAAGGTGAACACCGCCGTAGAATTGGATCGCGGAATGGCATGTTGTGGAAGTTGAAGTCCACCAATCTTAGCGTCGCTACAGAATCGGGATTGTCGAACGGCACAATTCTGGGAGTTGAAGGCCACAGATCTTAAAGCAGCTAAGATAAACACAGCAGTAGAATTGGATTGCTGAATGCCACGTACGGGGACATCATAGAGAGCTTCTGAATCACAGCCCAGTAAATTGGGCCTCCATAAACTAAAATACATTCACCAAGTTGAACCTGCTTGCTCCCAAGGCTAAAATATCTCCTTACGCGTTGTGGATTCTTCAGCGGATTCTACGAAACCCAACCGTTTTTGGCCAGGTCGCTTTCCTGAAGGCCTTTTCGCCCTTGCTGATTCTCACATTAACCAACCAAGGAGCTGAACTGAAGACGATGCACAAATCCAACGGATTCCTTGGGTTCAGCTCGTTGCCGTAAAACCTGCCGTACCCGTCTCTACAGACAGCTCTCCCCTCCCATCCCTGTCTTTAAGGCACATCTGTCACAGATGTGTGCTTCCACCCTGCAAAACAACCAGAGGGGCAGACAAGTCTTCCTTTTATATATATATATATATATATATATATATATATCTTTAACATCCATAAGTGCTTAGTGAACAGTGTATTATCTGGGTCAATATATTTTGCATACAATACTGATAAGTGACATTACCATTTTAACATACATAATCATACTTTTTCAACTTCTAACACTTGTGTATACTTAGTAAATGTAGTATGTTCTATTACATTTCAGTATACATAATATTATTTTCCCAATTTCTACTTTTACTTCTTTTTTTCCCCAACGCTCATTAGAATAATCACCATTAAGAAGAGCCTGGTGGCGCAGCAGACTAAAGCACTGTTATTAACATCAAGCTGTCTGCAATTACTGTAAGTTCAAATCTCACCAGGCTGAAGGTTGACTCAGCCTTCCATCCTTTCTAAGGTAGGTAAAATGAGGACCCAGATTGTGGGGGCAATAAGCTGACTTTGTATAAATATACACAAGTATGAAGGCTATTGCTTAACACATTGTAAGCCACCCTGAGTCTCCAGAGAAGGGCGGCATATAAATCAAATTTAAAAAAAAACATGTTAAAAAGTGTTCTATCCGTCATCTCTTGCCCTTTTTAGAATTTTAACTTTTTGGTGAATCTGTCCTGCTTCTCCCTCTGGTATCTTGTAACTCCTTTTGTCGCTTTTATTTAATCTAAATAAAGAGTCTTCCAAGATGCTGAAGGGAAGGAGGGAGGAGAGCAGAAGATAGGAAGGGTTGTCCCAGCCATGTTGCTCTACCCACTGGCTCCTGTCTACAAAGGAGGCCTTTGAAGAGCCACTTGCAGAGACATCCTGCATCCTGCCCGCTTTCCAAGAATATGCATTGAGGACATTTGGTAATTGTTTCCTCCTCATCTGGGTCCTATCATTTCCCAGGGGTTTAAAAAAAAGAGTGGGGGGGAGAGGAGGAGACCCACAGAATGACTTTTCAAGAAGACCGCGCGCCACATGTGACCGACGAAAACTTTTGAGATACTTCCTGGCTTTGATTTCCCCACTTTGATCCTGACGCCTGAATATTTCTCTGGTTTTTTTTCTGTGGTTGGGGCTCATGAAGGGTGGTGAGATCTCCCCCCCCCTTCCTTCCACCCCCACCCCAGGAAAGCCACATAAGAGAGAGACCAGGGTCTCTTCAACGGACTTTCTCGAAGACCTCTTTAAAAAGCTTCGTTCTCGCCTCCTCCTCAGGATATTAGCGCTTCTTACTCATTCACGCAGGCCGCCAGCCATCGGGCGCGAAGGCACGGCGTTCAATTTATAACCCCAGATCAGACAGAGCAGAAGAATGCCTCCTTTGTAGGTGATTTAAAAAAAATAATAAAAGAAAATCACAGGACTCCTTTGTTTCACAGTCATAATTGAGCATTAACTAAATGGAAAGGGCTTTGAGTTTCTCAGCCAATTTTCATTCTTCACACTTGGCATTTATATATTGTTTTTAGGGCGTTGAAAGTTCTCAACAAGCCTCACCTCGGTTATCTTTGCTCGAGTCTGCGAAATTAATTAGAAAGGGAGCATCGCTCCCCTTGCAGAGGAAGGATGGGGTGGGGGGTTGCTGACGGAGAGGGCAAATTGCTTTTCTGCTGAGGGCCACAGTTGTGGGTTCCGCACAGGGGTGAAATTCAAAAATTTTCCCTACTGGTTCTGCGGGCGTGGCTTGATGGACGTGGCAGGGGAAGGATATTGCAAAATCTCCATTCCCACCCTACTCTGGGGCCAGCCAGAGGTGGTATTTGCTGGTTCTCCGAACTACTCAAAATTTCCGCTACCAGTTCTCCAGAACCTGTTAGAATCTGCTGGATTTCACCCCGCGTCATTGTCCAAAGTGGATGGAGATAAAATCGGAGGTGAGAGCAGAAATAGAAGGAGTTGCACGTTTTATTTTGGCTGCCCTTTTCTCTCTTATTTCCATTTATCTGTCTTTTTGGTTTTTTTTTCCTGAGCTGAGTTGGACCAGAGGTAGTAAAGGGGTCCATAGTGGCTCACCCCCGATGCAAACTGATCTTCCGCCACAGAAGGTTGCAGGAGGCCATCACTGCTGGAAATGGTGCTTGGGAGCCCGTTTTCACTGGCAGAGCGCTTGGGCCACCACAGGAGCCCCTGTCATGAGTGATGTCGAGCTGGCCACACCCATTCTGGCCACACACACACACACACACACACACACACGCGCGCAACCCTGATGTGGCCCTCAATGAAATCGAGTTTGACACCCCCGCCCCATAGGAAGAAGGGACCAAGGGGGAGGTCCCCCTGCTCCTTGGGAGGGGGCTGCTGGGTATTCGTAGAGGTTTGGGAGAGTGAAGTTCGGAGAACCCGCAAATCTCAGTCCTGGCTGGCCCCGCCCACCCCGCCCTGCCCCTCCCAGGAGTCCCCACACGGCCCATTTTGAATGCAGGTAAGTGCAGGGCACGCGTGGACGCTCAGGGAGGGTTAAAAACAGGCCTACTGGAAGTTTGGGAAGGCCCGAAACAGGCACGTTTCTGTCCACCAGACGGCCTCTGGAGCCTGGGGAAGCTGTTTTCACCCTCCCGGAGGCTTGAGGAAGGCCCTTGGAGGCAAGGGAGGGCAGAAACGCCCCGTCCCCGTCATGGCCACGCCCACCCAGCAACCGGGCAGAGAATCCCTTGCTAAAAGTTTTGAAGCCCACCCCTGGATTCCAGGATCTGCTGTACGCAGAGAGAAGTTCAGGAAGGGTCGAGTTCTCCATCAGCCCCGCTTTGCAGCAACCAAGGAACGAGTCCCCAAAACCCCCACGAAGCTCTTGCTCAATTCAAAACGAGCTTCTTTCCACCACCAAGGAAAGGAAAAAAAAAAAAAACCTGTTGATCGCAGACATAGGCCTCCCTTTCTCCTCCAGCAGTTGAGTCCTCTGGTTTTTTTTTTTTTATTATTATTATTTTTTTTTATGAAATTGCCAACTCGGCTTCCTCTGCAGGCCGTCACCGCATCGACTTCTCCAGCTTCTGCACTTTTTAAGGCGGTGCAGGTGGGCGGCTTATGTTTGTCTATACACAGACAGGTTCCGTGATTCATTCTGGCACTAGCTATTGTTGAAATCTTCTCCGCCACTTCTTTGGAGGGAAGACGAATAAGTTAAACCAGCAGGCACAACGGAGAAACGGTGGGAACAAACGGGAAGGCACTGGAGATCTGACAGATTCTCCCCACCCTCTTCCCCCCACGCCCACTCCCACCCCAGCGCTCTGTGGCAATGAAATTTCTGCTGATTTGTTCACATTCAAACCCTTCCACGGGGGTTACGCAGAGTGCGAAAGCTGTTTTGGAAGCGGGAAAGAGACGTCGAAGGCAGGAGGAAGAAGAAGAATGTTTTAACAGGGCAAGTCCACACACGGGTTCAAGGCTGCCAGCTCAAGCCTGTTCACCCTTGAGCAAGACGCACCACGTCAAGGCTGGCCAGGAAGGAAGCCATCTAGGTTTCCCCTGCGATCGTGACCTCGCTGGAACGAAAACTTCAGGGCTGCCGAGCAAAAGATAGCAAGTGGCAAGCTAGCTCAGGTTCCAAAAGGATCCAACAAAATGAAATTTTAATGTGGAGAAAAGCAAGGTTTTACACTTACGCAGGAAAAAAACAAAAGCAGGGGTGAG